TGTGCTCAATATGTGGGGACAATCTGAAATATGTGCTAAAAGCCCTGTCAGTTACACAGATGATATAAATAGAAATTCAGCCACAGATTCAACCAGGGTTAACTATTTTTTAAAAATATGACTACTTAGTCAAGTCCACAAGCCACCAAGCACTCCTACCTTAATAACTGCAATAGTTAAAATACACTTCATATTAGGAAATGTTTTCCAGAAAAGAAATTCCACTAAAGTGTGGCAAGAGAGCAAGATTTTTTTGGAGTAAACTGACATATTCAAGCCTGAATCTTAAGAGGGGACTTTTAAATCTCCCGTGGAGCTGAAGACTTTTTTTATTTTAGTTTGTGTTTAGTGGTAGATGTAGTCTTGATGAATATTGCTTACTGGTGAGGTTAAGGAGTATCACACTCATTTCTCCCTTTACCACTGTGGTTTTGACTTAGTAAAGGAAAACTTGCCAGGTTTACTCTCAGATTAAAGCTACTGACACCTGACATTGTTGTCATCACAAGTGGTAAATTACCTGCTACGTAAGCAGAGGGGAAATGCATTGTGTTTTCAGATGTCGTTTTTAGTGCATTTTTAGTGTTTTTCATTCATATCCAGCTGTATATTACAAAAATCGTAAATTACAGTAATTTACTTAAGCTGAGCTGTTGGAGGGGGGAAGCTCACAGTATGGTTAAGCTTTGGGGAAATTTTTTTAAGGGGATCTTTAAAAAAACGTTTTTAGAGCATGAACAATGTTTAATGGGGCAAGTTAGAGAAGAAATATTTGGTAAAGTAATACCATGTCAATTATTAGCTTTAATCGAGTTTAGTACTTTCTTTTAACGACCCTCTGCTGCCATTATGAAAAGATCAACCAGGAACCTTTAACAGAGTTGATGATATTGTGTTGACAAGTCAAATAGTACTAGACAAGCTCATTTTCTTTGTCTATTCCACCCCCTAAATTAAATTTTCTCACTAGCATAAATTTTAAATTCCTGATCTGACTTAGTTCTCGGATTATATATGCTCTGATTTATTGATAGTTTCCAAATTATATAGTATGATATATTTTTCTAGCTTCAAATTTTAGTAATGTTCTATTTATGATGTATTATTTTGTGTGTTTGCTATATAGTGTTACTTCTTTAAAAATCTCTAGAAGAATCAAAACATTCTAACAGGTAAATTTACTATTACATGTACTGGAAATTTTTTTCTCTTTTTTAAATTCAGTGTTAATATAAACTACTAAAGTTAAAATTGATATGACAAAAGTAGAAAAAAAATCTTCACCCTGGAGTTGTAAATTATATCCAACTTTTAAAGATTTTTCTCCTAATTACTCAAATTTCCTAAGTGTTACAAGATTGAAGAATAATTATTCAACTTCCAACACTTGTCAAAGAGGGTTAGGAGTGAAATATTTCATGTAGAGCTATTTTGCTCTATAAAACAGCGGATAAGATTAATATTTTTAAAGCCACAATATACATCTTATTTTAACTCTGTAGAGTATGTAAA